GTCTGTCCACCTTGAAGTATTATTTGTGCTCCAGTTGCTGTTGGCTCGTTTCCCTTGTGAAGCTAGTAGAGGCCGGATGCTAGCACTCAAATGCTCCTCATACTGCTCTCAAAGGTTTTAATCCTTTTGTGGAATTGGTAACTCTCCCTTAGAGTAGATTGGTTTTTATTGTGAGTGCTAGAACGTTGAATTGTAAACTCATCATCAATGTGGCTTTATCTATGAAAATCTGTGTAACTTGGGTAAGACTTTGCTTTTCAGTTTTGATTTTTGTGCAACTTTGGCATGTTGTTGTTGTTATATGCCATGGAGTTGATTACAGCTCATAGCGAGCCTATGAACAACCTCTCTGAACATTGCTCTTTAGCGTTCTGACAGCAGATTTTCCCAAATGTCTTTTGATTTCCTGACTGCTGGGGCCAAGGGTGTTGATTGTGGATCTGAGCAAGATAAGCCTGCTAAAAACTTCAAATTTTTCTCCATCCCTCATGATGTTATCTATTAGCCTAGTGTTTTTCTTGATGTTGACATGCAATCCATATTGAAGACTGCAGTCTGATCTTTTGCAGCAAACACACCAAGTCCTCTGCAGTTTTGATGAGCAAGATTGTGTCATTTGCATAACAGGGGTTTTTGATAAATCTTCCTCAAAACCTGATGCGACATTCTATTCTTAAAGTCTAGCCTCTTGAATGATCTGTTTAGCAGAGAAATTTAAAAAGATATTGAGAAATTATACATGCCTGATGCACTCCGTTCTTGATTTTGAACGATGCAGTATTCCTTTGCTTTGTTCAGACAATAAAGCTATTGTAGCTTCAAGCAGGTATAGGTTTCACATGATTACAATCAAGTGTTTGAGGATTCTCACTCTTCTCAAATTAGCCACAATTTGTAGTAATCCACACAGTTAAATGCCTTTGCATAGTTGAAAAGATACAAATAGACATTCTCCTGTACTCTCTGCTTTCAGCCAAGATCCACCTAACACTGGTGGTAATGTCCCTAGTATCACTGCTTCTTCTAAACCCAGCTGTATTTCTGCTAGTTTTGGGATAATCCTCAGCAAGATTTTACCTGCATTAAAAATAATGGTATTAATGGTATTGCTCAATAATTTCTACATTCTGTTAGATCACATTTCTTGAGAACAGAAATAAAGATGGGTCTCTTCCAGTCATTTGGCCAGGAGGCTGTCCTCCAGATTTCTCAGCACAATCTGGTAAGGTCATCCAGGGCTACACCTGCTTATTGAACATGCCAACTGATAATCCATCAATTCCTGGGATCTCATTTTTTTTTTCAATTCCTTCAAAGCAGCTACTTCATTACCATTGGTTCTTGATTATATACTATTTCCTGAAATAATTCTGTGTCAGCCAATCTCTTTTGGTACAGTGACTCTGTATTCCTTCCATCTTCTTTTCCTGGGTCATTCAAGATTTTGCCATACATGACCCAAATTATATGCTAAATTCTTCAGCTGTGGAGTCCCAGGTCTTGCTTGTATTATGAACTCAATACCAAAGCTATCTTAGATATGGTCTTATGTGCTGAATATTTATTCACAGAGACTAATTTGTTTGCATGTTTCATCCTTCTCACATACCTAGAATTCTGGTAGAGACAGACAAGTTATGTTGCCTTTCAGCATCAATTGATAACATCTCTGGAAGAAGCTGTGCTGCAATCCCATAAGCATGCAATCCCATAAGTTTGAATCCGCCAGTTGCTGTTAGGAGAAGGATGGGCAATCTACTCCTTTGCAGTCTACTGCCTCTGAAAATCTGCTAGAGGGTCAACTAATAATCAGTTTTGATCCGAAGATATGCACAGCATCATCTATATCAGAACCCTTCTGTAGTTCTCACCTTTACACCGGGTTTCACTGCTAACTCACACTTCATAAAGAAGGCCTCCAATGACTTTCTCCTGCTCCTCTAATTCTCAGGATAAGCATCTTTTTCTTTATCTCTAGGACAATGCTGAACCAGCTCAGATGGATCACTGTTCTGTGTTTCTCAATTCCTATTCATTTCTGCTCTGGTGGTCTAATGGTGAGGAGTTGTACTGCCAACCCTTAAAACAGGCACTTTTTGTTGTTGTTTCGATTTTAACAAAAGTTTACAGAAAAGTTGGATTTTAAGTTATTCTTTGTTGCACATTTTCCTCCTTACCTCACTCCTGTTCACTAAAAAAAAATCATTCATTGTTGCATAATTTCCTCCCTCCTCCCCACCCCTCCCCCACTTCACTTTGCTATGCACCTCTCATTCTGGAGTTTTGTCATACAAGTAATGCCGAATCATATATTCCATTTAAACAGTTCTTTCCTTCATCTGTTCACAGTGCTCATTGTTTGTCCCCTCTTTTCTTAGTTTTTCCCCAACGTTCTTGTCAGACCTGTTTTATAATAGTGGTATTATGCAGATTTTATCCCTTTGTGACTGAGATAAATTCACTCCGTGTAATGTGAGGCAGGCACTTTTAATCCTCTGGCTACTCCACAGAAAAGATGCCATTTACAGCTCTGAAAACTTGCTCTAGGGTCAATTATGAGTTGGTTCTAACTTGATGGCTCCTTAACAACAACTGCATTCATTTCTGGCTCACTAGAAAGTTGGGTTTTATTCTTGTGAATTAGCCCAGTATTTCTAGGCTATATTAGAAGATCCCCGCCCGCCCCCGCCTTCCCGCCCATTAGAGGGTGAAACCAGGCTGTTTCTTGGAGGCAAGAATTCTGAAACTTTGTCTAACCCACTTTGGGCATGCCGCAAGAAGGAACCAGTCCTTGGAAAAGGACATCATGCTTGGGAGGGTGGAGAGACAGTGCAAGAGAGGGAGACCCTGGATGAGATGAGTGGTGGGGATAGATGTGTCAGAGACAATAAGGTTGGCACAGGATAGAGCAGAGTTTAAGGGCTGTTGTACATAGGGTTGCTCTGAGTTGCAAGCAACTTGACAGCATATAACAACAATACTTATTTCATCTGTCATAGTGCTAGAACTAGCTATAAATCATTAATTCTGGTTTTGTGTGTTTGCTTCATGAAAACTCCTAGATACATTTCTCTTGGAATTCTGATTTCTGGGTCCATGGAATTGGTGTGACCCACCCAGACCATTTCTTTCTGAACTTTAATTGAACTTTAAAGACCTCAAGAGGAACAATGGACTAGTAAGAAACTTTGCAAAAACTGTTTTGTCTTACACATTGGGGTCTTTTTACGATGACCTTCAAAAAAGTCATTGCCCAGACCCTATTAACGTAACCTGCTTAAAGCGTTCCTTCTTTCAGTTGCCTTTCCTATACCTCGAGTTGAAGTTGCCTAGCTCCAATCACCTTTACTCACATGTAATTCCGTTACACTAATATTTTAAAATTTCTCTGTGCTTTGTGTTTTTTAAAAACAATATCTTAAAGTTCTTTGCCTTGTTCTCCTTCTGGTAAAACTTCAACCATTCTCTCTTGCCTTTGGATTTATTTTTCTCCTTTTGCTAAATTACTGTTGAAACATGGTGGTGTGGGTGAGGAAGGACAGGGAGAAATCTTGCCATTGTACAGATTGACGTGGTTCTGTATCCATGTATGGTCTCATGAAAATAATAACCTTATCCAGCAATCCCAGCTTCCCTGTGAGTCATCTATCCCATTCCCCACAGCTATTTTAAAACCTTTCCCTTTGACATACAGAGATCATTTCAGAAGATACTCTTAACTAGTACTTCTTGAGAAGACAAGGCTCTCTTAAATACCGTACACAAAACTCATGAACTGATTCATACTGGGGGGGGGGGAATTATTTTCTCTTTCCTTCCTATTACAAGGGAGGAAGTTCCCTCTTCCTGTCTAAGTACGGTAACCATATAATTTACCCTGTAAGCTGGGATACTTTTGGAAGTAAAAGGCATACTCTATTAATAATTCCTCCAGGACAACAGGTGTAAAACAGAACCATCCTGAGCAAACAGCGACACATGAACACCCTCTGTGTAAGATTTATTATTATTCCACTTGTTCCCTGAATATACCGCTTTTATGTTCTGAAGCATCACATTCCCTTTAATATTTGCCTTCTCCGATATATAACCACCTTCTCTTTCTCCCTGGGCTCCTCAAAATGTCAACACTTCAAATTTTAAAAAATGTCAGTCTCTATTATCAACCATAAAAATAGCTAAAAATTATGATAGTCAACATTTATCATGTGTTTATAGAAAACCATATGCTTTATGAAGCACTATGAACCACACCTCAATAAATACTAACAACAAAACCCACCTCACAGATGAGACTAAGGCTTGTGGTAGGAAGAGTTTTGTGCTCAGTTTCCTTATCTAGCAGAAGGATGCTAGTAGTGAAAGGTTTAAGCAAAACAAGGTGCAATTTTAGGTCAAGAAAATTCTCACAGCCTGAGAAATAGAACTATAAGTGAATATTCAGATTTCTCAGTGGGGATCTTTCCCTAGATGATGAATTAGTAAATTATCAAAGAACCTTTCTTAAAAAAATATGAAAATATTTTTACAATGTAACTTATAAATTCAGGAACAATATATTTCTTTTTTTCCCCACCTCAGCATATTATTTTTCTAAACTCTTTATAATAGAGCAAAATCTGAAAAAATTCTTTTTTATTTTTATATATTTTCTACATACTGAATAAAAATAGTCTTTCTGAAATTATAAACAAGGGAGGATTGTCTAAGTCAAAGTAGAAGTTCTTAAATGATGTCTTGTTCTTTCAGGGTGGTAGTAAATTATTTTCTGTATTGATCCACATTACCAGAGCTTGTAGAAATAGATGAAATGTAATGTATCATACTAGTGAAACCTTCTTTTGCTGTTCATTTTTCTTTTTCTATTCATGTCCAATGGCTAGGACAGTTAAAGGGTTTGGATTGTATGCATCTCTGATTTTGCCAAAATACCATAGTCTTCCCAGAAAACCATGAGAATCTCTGCTCACACTGTGATGGAAAAGAATATGGCTACTTACCCTCAACTTCAAGCTTCACCAATTTGGAATATGCTGTCCCAAGGCTGTTCTTTGCCACGCAGCGATAATGTCCTGCATCTTCCTTTTGTACATTATGAATTCTCAAACTTCCAGATTCAAGAACTGCAATGCGGGAATTTTCCTGAGTGAAATAGAGAGTGAAATAGGCCTAAAACATCATGGCTCACTCAAGTACACATTTGCCATAGTTTATCAAGACATAGTCATCTCTACTATCATCATCAATATAACCTTAACATTTACTGAGAATTTATTCTGTCTCAAATTCAATGTTAAATGAGATAGTACAAGATCACCAAAATAAATCTTTAAAATGATCCCATAAGACATCATTTCTGTTTATATTCTTTAATCTCTAGGACACCAAGATTTATTTGACTTAGTTAAAAGTCACATCATGTTGTTCTGATGGAATGTATTACTTTAGCACTGTACACCCTCTACAGTGTCCTTAAGGGAATACATGTCCTTGGAAGATAGGGAAATTCAACAAATAAAAACAATTTTGCTTTGAGGTTTAAATATTATATTTTTTTTACCTTTCAATTCAGTAGTATACATAGAGCCACTCTTGTTTTCCTTATAAAAAACATATCTTATATCTATAATAAAAGGAAGGCTAGACTTACATAATCATAAAATATTTTAGCATTCTTTGTCTTATTCCTCCCAAAATAGGGCTGTTAATTTTGTATTTTTCCCTTCCAGATAATCTACATACATTAAGATCTATGTCTTCCACGTGGACTATGATAGGCTTAACTCATTAACATTGAGTCCAAACCCACTCATAGCTGACTCCTCAGTGGGTCTCTGAGATTGTAAACTGTGTAGGAGGAGATTACTCATCTTTCTTCTGTGAAGCTGCTGATAGATTTGAATTGCCAGCGAGTCTAGGCCTTTGTGTTGTTAGCAGCATAAGTCCCTACAGACAAGGCCACCAGAGTTCCCTAGACTTGGTAAAATGAAGACCATACTGTCTGTGGCCTCATCTAGTCTACAGCTAGTAAGTGATAAGTATGGAAAGGAAAAATGATGATGCAGCATGAAGATTTATCAATATATTTATGAATAAGATACAGAGGAAGTATAAAAGCAGCATGGATAATGAACTTTTAATGTATCTGTTCTCTGTAACCAAAGACACAATGTTGTTTATCAGTCTTAAATCATCATGCTCTAATTTTACTCCTGAGTGTTTGTGTTTTTACTCTTTTATTCCAAATCTCATTTCTTTCTCTTCCTAGAGACCATCAGTTCTAAAACCTAGACTTTAGTTTTATCTTTTTTCTTCTTAAATTTTAAAGAGTCAATGTTGTAAGAAGAAATTGACCAACTAGCTAACAAATAAAAACAACTCTGGCCTTGCCTTTCTTGCCATCCCTAACATCACTAGCTCTCACCTCTGTTCCCCACACCCCCATGTCCATCTTCAATGGAAGTGTTTTATAATTTACATAAAGAGGAACATAAATACTTACATTTGGTTAATATGTATATGAAAGAAATTACCCTGCAATTTTGTAAATGTGTAGCTGTGTTTGTAAAGGACTGCTATATTTAACAATGTTTTATACACATCATGATGAACACTTACCTTGAGAGCAGTATCTCCCTTGATCCATGACACTGAAGGTTTGGGATTGCCCATTGTAGTACATGGAAGAACTGCCTTCAACCCTTCTATTATTTTTACATTTATGGGAGGACGAGTTATTTTAGGCTCTAAAGGAAAAGAAAAATTAAAAAATCATTGTGACCATATCAAGTTAAGAGTTTCTAACTTTACATTTAACTCTATTTGTTGTTGTTGTTATTATTGTTGTTGTTGCTGTTGTTATGTGCCATCGAGTTGACTATCATAGTGACCCTATGTACAATAGCTCTAAACCCTGTTCTATCCTGAGTCAATCTAACTGTCTCTGATACACCAACCCTCATTACCCCAGTTACTGAGTCAATCTATCCCATCTGGAGTCATCTTCTCCTTTGCTGTCCCTCCACCAAGCATGATGTCTTTCTCCAAGGACTGGTCCCTCCTAGCAACATGCTCAATTATAGTTCTAAAAATAACTTTGCATATAGCACATTATAAAATTCACCAAATATTAAGACAAGATTTTAGTGAATGTTAAGTGAGATAATTTTTCTAACTTTTTTCTTAAAAAAATTACTAATGATTTTTTTTTGGTGTGTACCATCAAATCAGATCTGACTGGTACAGGAGGAGATTGCCCCTCCTTCTCCAGCAGAACATCTGGTGGACTCAAACTGCGTGCCTCTGGGATTGCAGTTTCTTGCCATTAGATCACCAGAGCTCCTGTAATATTTGTTTCTGTTGTATGTCATCTTTTGTTGTATGTCATCAAGTCCAGTGCAAGACATAGAGATCATAAACAATGGCTCTAGACCTTGCCCTATCCTAAGCCAACCTCACTGTCTCTTAAACAACTGATCCCATTGCCACAGTCACTGTGTAAATCCATCTCATCCAGGATCTTCCTTTTCTGTGCTGACTGCTGACCTTTCCCCTTCCAAATAGGATTCCTTCTCCAAGGACTCTTCCCTACTGGCAATATGCCCAGAGCATGTGAGACAGAGCTTCAAAATCCTGGCCTCCAAAGAGCAAACTGGTTTCACCCCCTCAAGGACAAATTTAAGAACAAATTCAAGCCTCAAGTTGCAATACTTAATGAATCAATGGGAAAAATATTTAATGATCCAGGAAGCATCAAAAGAAGATTAAACAAACACACAATTACTGTACAAAAAAAAAATTTGGTTGATACAGAACCATTTCAGGAAATAGCATATGATCAAGAACCAATGGTAATAAAAGAGGAAGTTCAAGCTGGTCTGAAGAAATTGACAAAAAAATAAGGGCTCATAAATTGAGGAAATAAATACTAAATTACAGATTCCAGCAAACATATTTTAACCCTGTATGTACTTATATGGTTGTACCAAGAAATCTTTAAGACAGATATCTGGCCAACTGACAGTAAGAATTTCATATTTATTCCTATTTCCCCTCCCCCCCAAAAAAGTGACTCAACAGAATGTGGAAGTTTCCAAGAAATATTATTAATTTTACATGCAAGAAAAATACTGTTAAAGGTATCTAAAAACTATTAGAACAGCACATCAAGAAAGAACTGCCAGAAATATAAGCTGGATTTAGAAGAGGTTGTTACATTAGGATTATCATTGCTGATGTCAGATGGGTCTTGGCTGAAAGCAGAGAATACCAGAAGGATATCTATTTGTGTCTTATCACGGACACAAAGGCATGTGACTGAGTGGACTGAAAAAAATAATTGTGCCTAACATTGAGAAGAATAGGAATCCTGGAACATTTGATTATGCTCATATGAAACCTACACCTAGACCAAGCAGCTGCTATGCAAACAGAGCCAAGAAGAGAGTGTTTCAAGGTTATATACTATCTCATGCCTTATCAATTTTTCTAAAGGTTAGGTTATCTCTATTTCATTAAAATTTTGTTCACAAAACCTCAGATTTATGATATAGAAATGAGATAAAGATATTTTGCTTAGAAAATAAACTAAATATTATTCATAACCAGAAGAAATTCTGCCATACAATTTGGGGGAACTTAAATCTACAAAGCAAAATAGAGAAATTTCACTATTGTAAACTAATCTTAATTTTTTTTCAAAAGACATTGCTTTATGCCATCTATTTTTTTCTATCCAATTTTTATTCTTCAACAGTAAATGTACAAAGGAAGAATTTTCTAAATATATCAGGAAGGATGGAGAAGAGATTGAAACTATCAACAACCTCTTCTTGCTTGGATCCACAATTAACACCCTTAGTACCAGTAGTCAGGAAATAAGAAGATGCATTGCACTCAGAAAATCTGCAGTTAAGGACCTCTCCAAATTTTTGAGGAGTAATGATGTCAGTTTGAAGACAAAGGTACATCTAAATCAAGCTATGGTCTTTCCAATCACTCACTATGGATCTGAGAGCAGGACAGTGAATAAGGATGACAGAAAATAATTGATACCTTTGAGCTGTGATATTGGAGAAGAGCACTGAACATCCCAGGGACAGCCAAAAGAACAAATACATCTTGGATAGGGTACAGCCAGATTGCACTTTAGAGGCAAGGATAATGAGGCTTAGCCTCACATACTTTGGGCATGTTACTAGAAGGGGCTGTTTCTTGGAAAAGGACATGATGCTGGGAAGGGTGGAAGGTCAGGGAAGGAGAGGAAGACCTTTGACCAGGTGGACTGATGTGGTGACTGCCGCAATGGGCTCTTGTGTGTCAGGAAGTGTGAGGATGGCACAGGATAGGACAGGATTCAGATCTATTGTTCATAGAGTCACTATGAGTCATACTCAACTTGACAGCACCTAACAACAATAACATGAAAGCATTCATCAATTTTAGCAACTGAGGTGATCATGTAGTGCATATTCAGCTGAATGGGTAAGTTCTCTTTTAAAAAGGCTGGGTAAGAGAAGTGATGAGATGAGACAAGAAGAGAGAATTTTCAAACCAAGTTCAAGACCATTAGTACTAGAGAGAATATGAGAACATCCAAGGAAAAGCAGCAAAATAATATCTCAAAACAGTAAAATACTTAAATGCATCCTGTTTTCAGAATCAAGACTTTATTATTTAACTAAGTAGAGAATTTCAATTTCTTCACTTGGTTCTCACTGCTGCAGATGTCTACTTGTGGGTATAACCCACTTAACTGACAGGGCCTCCAAATAAACTTTCCCACAAAGCTCTACTCTTCTTACTATCTCATCCTTTACCAATTGATCTGGATGTTTTGCTAGATAGTTTGGTCTTTCCCTTGCAAGCAGGATAGAAGGTAAAAATCTGCTCTTATTCTCATTAATTTCTGGAGGTGGAAGTGTTCTCATTGTCTTTCTAGGACCTCTGATTTTAGCATTTCTTTTAATATAAAAACTCTGAAAAGAAACTAATAAAAGGCATCATTGAAAAATTGAAACCTCAATACGCCATGCAGCCTCTGCAAATACCTTTTGCAACTATGAGCAACCTCATCTCGGTCAATTTCATTGCCATCAAATTGGAACTAACTCATGGCTGACCCTTCAGTCTTTGAGCTGGCACTGTAACTCTCTACTCACTAGGCCACCAGTGCTCTCTATTAACTCCATGTATATATTATTCCTAGTATCCTCTGCCAAAAATAAGAAGCTGACTATGGTATGTGACCTGAAAGAAATAAAATGCATTCAGTTTAAGAATCTCAACAAAGATACTCAAGAATTAAACCACACAATTAACCAACTCGATCTTATAGATATTGATAGGCTAATGCACCCCCCAAAAGCACAATACACCTTCTTTTCCAATGTGCATGGAACATTC